CTTTTCATCCCTACAAATACACCTGTTCTTCGAATACACCTGCGCACACAGGTGAATTGGGCAGCGTAACAATAAATATTTCTTTCCCAGGCTAGGAAAAGGGTTGGGGAATATAGTGTATGGTGTAGAAGTGTAATAGAAAAATATGTGTATAAGTGTAATATATAAAAAAGTATGGTGTAGAAGTGTGACGTGAAAAATGTGATGTGTAAGTGTAATGTAATAAAAAATATCGAAGTATGAGCGTACTATAAAAAAGGGATTATTTTATTCTCAGGCTAGGAAGAGAGTGGGAGAATATTTGTAGTGAAAAAACGCGTGTAATGCAAAAATTGGTGTATAAGTGTAATATATGATGATGGTGGTGATGATGATGATGATGATGGTGATGATGATGGTGATGGTGATGATGATGATGATGGTGGTGATGGTGATGATGATGGTGATGGTGATGATGATGATGATGATGATGATGATGATGATGATGAAGGCGGTGGTGGTGGTATCTCCCCCCCCTCTCTCTCTCCCTTCGTCTTATGGATTTCCTCTTTCTTTCCCACCAACTAAAGCTTTGTATCTATCTGCTTCTCTCTCGCATTCTCTACTCTTCCTCCTTCTCTCCACCTCTCTTCCCCATCCGTCCTCCCCCCCTTTCCCCGTCTCCCCCCACCCCCTCTCCTTCAGGCATCGCCATAACGCCTTGAGTACGCACCAGCTGTCCCGTCAGGCATGTGTGTGTGTGTGTGTGTGTGTGTGTGTGTGTGTGTGTGTGTGTGTGTGTGTGTGTGTGTGTGTGTGTGTGTATGTGTGTGTGTGTGCGTGTGCATGTGCGTGTGCGTGTGCGTGTGCGTGTGTGTGTGCGTGTGCGTGTGTGTGCGTGTATGTGTGTATGTATGTGTATGTGTGTGTGTGTGTGTGTGTGTGTGTGTGTGTGTGTGTGTGTGTGTGTGTGTGTGTGTGTGTGTATGTGTGTGTGTGTGTGTGTGTGTGTGTGTGCAAGCCGCATGATAAGGAATAATTTATGGCCGCGAGGAGTTGGGCAAGGAGACAGGTGTGGGCGGAAGACTGGAGTGGGTGCGAGAGAGAAAAAAAGAAAGAAAGAGTGGAGAGGAAGGACTAGAAAGAGTGAATGAGTGAGTGAGTGAATGAGTGAGTGAGTGAATAAGTGAGTGAATAAGTGAGTTAGTGAGTGAGTGAGTGAGTGAGTGAATGAGTGTGTGAATGAGTGAGTAAGTGAGTGGGTGAGTGAATGAATGAGTGAGTGGGTGAGTGAATGAGTGAGTGAGTGAGTGAGTCAGTTAGTCACTGGGTGAATGAATGAACGAGTGATTAAGTGAGTGAATGAATGAATTAGTGAGTGAGTGAAGGAGAGAGTAAGGGAACGCGGAAGAGAGGAAGGAAAGAAGAGAGAGAGAGAGAGAGACATAAAGCAACATACAGACATAAACAGAAAGGGAGTATCCATCACACACACACACAAAAAGAAAACACCAAAATAAAATAACAAAAAAGAGAACGACAGAAAAAGAGGAAACACCAACGATGAAGACCAAGGATATCCTAATCGTTCGTGCGTGTTCGTATTTGCATGTGTACGTTTTAGCATGTAAGTAAATGCGTGGATCTAACCTCTTCAGTATGCAAATTACACTTCTCAACCGATCGCGACTTTTTCCCCTTAAGTGAATAGCGAGCAAATTACAGCATCCACAAGTGACTTCCCCGCTCGATGTGAACAAACACCGAGCGTATTTTGTTTTGTGTTCTGGCAGAAATTTCATCCTGTTCTCATGCACTCATGTATTTCTTGTTTGCTCTTATGATATATTTTTTTTACAAGGTGTCATTGTAGTATGTATTTATGCAAGTTTTTTTTTGAGTATGTTGTATTTTTTTATTTGATTGTATTTGTGCTTTTTACTTTTTGCTGTTAGATCATTTTCCTTTATCATATATTCCATTTGTTTTTCATGCGTCATTTCATTTTATTGTCATTTATCTAAACTTATCTTGGTGTTTCTTTTTCGTTTTCACGCTTTTTCATTTATTTTTCATTGCTGTTATTTCGTTTTTTTATCATCTCATTTTGTTTTCAATCTGATATCCAGTTTCGTTTTCTTGTTATCTCATTTTAGTGTTCTTGTCGTTGTCTCATCTGGTTTTCTTACCATCTTACTTATCTACTTGTTATCTTTGTTTCGCTTTCTTGTTGAACTTATTAACCTCATTTTGCTTTCTTTAAGCTTTTTGCAGATATTAAGAACTTATAACACGAAGATGACTAAAGAAAAAAAAAGTAAATACGAAAAGAGGAGGAAGATTACAAGAACGTAAATGAGTAGCAGTAAGCCAACGAACAAATAAACTATAAAAAAACACACCTGTTCAAAAATACGTAAAACAACAGGTATCCGAAGGGCATCGACCGTCGGCAAGAACATTGACAACAGCGGCAGCCCAACGAGGGTCAGGACAGCCCATAGCAAGTCGGGGGGCAAGC